AGTGCAACTAAGCAGAGTCACATCTCATGCAATTCCCCAAATCGTAGTTACCTAAGATGAAACACCGTCAAATAGGGTAAGGTCTAATGGTCCATTTGGAAATTTGTGCTGGTTACATGGTTGCCGGCGCATAACGCGGACCAATCCATTCATACACTTCTCGTACCTCTCTCTTACCAAAGCCCAAGACTTGCGCATCCCAGTCCCCATAGACTCCTCATCAATCTCCTCAACCGTAGCCCATCGATGTCGCGCGTGCGACGAGACGAGGTCTTCAGAGCAATCTACCTCGAAGAGATGCACATGCATCGTAAGCTTCAGGTGAGAAAACAACCACGGCACACTGCCCAGCTCCCCGGCATGTTTCAGCTTCCACTTCTTGTTTCCAACACCGTTGATGAGTCCCGATACATATCCTTGAGCGTCCTTCTTCCGCGACGTCGCGGTGTTGCCGCTAGTAGACGGCAGCGTGTGGCTGGGTAACTCCCATAGCCCGGCGAGGAGTCCCTTCTCCGGGCGCCTGTGTATTAGGAATCGCCCGTCGTCGCTGCACCGAACTGCGCAGACCAGGGCCTCTTCCTCTCTAACTGCTTTCTTGACCACCTTGAGGGGGAACTTTCGAGCGTGTTCCGCGACGATTTCTAGTGTTCTTGCATCGATTTGTGCAACCTTGGGCTGCGCTTCCTCCTCTTCCTCCTTCTTTTTGGCTGTCTTTGAGGTGAAGAAGGCGGATAACGTCGCCTGCTTTGGCCCCGGTTGCGTCTTTACGCCCTTCTTAGCCCCCTTTGCCGGCTTCCGCTTGCGCGACTCCGCTTCGGAATCTTCCTCAGAGAGCGTGTTCTCGTCTGCGGCTTCTTCAAAGGGTTCGCAATTCGAGCATAGGTCCTCAATGTCCTCGACCTTTTCAGCCCCCTTCCTCGACTTCTTGGCTGCGATTTGAAGGCCCTCTGCGTACGCTCGGCACGTAGAGGTTACTGGACACTCGCCGCAGTTTGGCTTTGGCGTGCAGACGGTGCTTCCGAGTTCCATCAAGGCCTGGCCCCACCGTCCAGGACGATCACTCAGCGGCGCCTTCTCAGAAAGCTCAGCGTCATCTTCGTTAGACCCATCCTTCGCAACGGCCTTGACGAGCGCATCCGCAGCTGCCCAGAGCAAATCAATGACAGCCTTGTCCGTCTTGGCATTCCCATACAGCCCTAACTGCCTGCTCAGCACGCGAAGCACATTCCCATCAACCATGGGCGCCGCCTCACCAAACACAATAGCAGCGACGGCACCGGCCGTGTACCGACCCACGCCCGGGACTTTGGCCTCGAGCTCGGCCGTGTCGGAGGGCATCAAACCCCGCCAGGCCGGGTCCGCGACGACCAGCTTTGCGGCCTCGTGGATCCTCGTGGCGCGGCTGTAGTAGCCCAGCCCGCGCCAGGCGCTCAGCACGTCCTCGGGCTCGGCGGCCGCGAGGTCGTGGATCGTGGGCCAGCGGGCCATCCATCTGTTCCAGTAGTCGATCACCACGGCGACGCGGGTCTGCTGGAGCATGATTTCGCTGATCCAGACTTCGTAGGCGCGCTTTTCGAGGGCGCTGCGGAGGTCGGCGGCGTCGTTTGGCGAAGTCTTTGCAGGGTCGATCCAGGGTTTGCGCCAGGGCATACCGCGGGTTGTGCTGATGGAGTCGAACCAGCCGAGGAGAGCATCGCGCCCGCACCGGCCTGGTTGGCCATCTAGGAGGAGAGGGCGGTGGTACGAGGTGGCATGCGTCCTTGATGCGGCGGGCGAGCAGCAGGCATCCTGCGTCGCCGGCTGCTGCTGGGGTGGACCAAAGAGGCGCGCATGGAGTTTTGCGGTGTCTGCTTTTCGAGCTTTGGGGTTCTTCTCGACCTTGCGCCTCTTTGGCGGCGGCTCAATAACGTCCTTCACATCGTCGCCTTCGTCGTCTTGAAGAGTTGGGTTGAAGTCTTCTTCTGACGCGTCCTTGGATGCCGGGGGTGATACAGGTGCACACTTTTTGGTGGCTACCGAGCGTGATCTAGACGTCGGCTTCTTGGTTTCTACATCTGGCTCGCTGTCGACTTGCGCCAAGATCCTCCTGGCTGCTGCGAGTGAACTTTGTCGACGGACTAGACGACGTTGAATCATGGTGATGTTTGGGAGACGCGACGAGAAGACGCGTCGTGGAGTAAAGTGGTCCGAATTTCACTTCAGGTACATTTGACGGGTGAATAGCAAATAATTAGCGTCGATTCAGGGACGCGTTTGCTGCAATTCAGATCGCAGCGGACAGTCAGGGTCCTGAAGCGCCGCAACTCAGGCACAGACCACTGCAATCCAAGATGCACGCAAGACGCGGTTTTTGTTATGGACAGCATATTAAGTAACGGCAAATTCTAACACTGAACATCTACAACGTCCAAGAGACGCATCATGGAGCTTCGACTTCGGTCCTAACATCCGCATAATCAGCAAAAGGAACATTATGAGTAGGAAGCAAAAGATTCAGGTCCTACCAGGATTCGAACCTGGGCCTACGGAAGGATCTAATCATATTTCAATCAGAATCCGACGTCCTAACCAACTAGACTATAGGACCAGCTTCACGATGATTCTTGATGACGTTGCCGCCGAATCCCGCCGTCCATGGCAGCCCACTGCCGTGTCGTGAACGACCAGCGAGGTTTGAATACCGCCATTCGAGCAGCTGGGGACGTGAAGCTTCGGTCCAGGTAACTTGAAGGGTGGTACAGTCTCGTGATGACCCTTCACTGGCTCAGCTTGCCTTGGGGTTGGACTCCCTAGCTGCATCTGCCAGACAAACCGGCCATCGTGCCTCACTCTGTCCAGCCATCGCCAGCGCAGGTCATCCAGTTCACTCCAACGAGCTTCAGACCATGCTTATCCGCGAACTTAGCAGGCTTCCATGAGCGCCTCTGAACAAATTCCTCTCCGCCGACATCCTCCTTCTTGAGATCCAGTCCTTGGGGTTCCCGGTAGAGCAGGAAGAGGTACCTGTGCGGCTTTGAGCTACAAGGTAAGGCAGAGTCAGCAAGGTCACTTTTAAAGGCTGCCCAAATCATTGAGACTGTCTGTCGACTCACTCGTCCTTGGGTCCGGGTCCGAGAAACTCAGTCAACGCCGGCTTCGTCTGCGCAACGACCGCGCCCCCACTGAGCGGCTGCAGCCCGGGTAGGACCCAATGGCGCCAGAACGCAAACTGCGGGTTGTCCGGGGTGGGCGCGTCCGGGTCTGTCAGGAAGAGGGTGTACGAGGCACCGGATTCGGCTCCCTCCTCGGCCGCGAACGAGATGCTGGGTGCAAGCTTGCACTCGCCCGCGCGGAAGAAGTTGCCCACATCGACGGCCTTATCCGCGAACGAGACCTCGAGCTTGATCGTCGGCTTAAACCCCTCTGGTATCAGTACCGCCGCTGAGCCCGGGACGAGCTTGGCTTGCTCGAGCGTGCTGGTGAGCTTTTGCGCGTGGTCGGAGAGTGACATTGTTGCGAGGGAGAGAGAAAAGATGGCTCAAATGGATTGATGTAAAGTCAACTTGGAAGGTGAGATCGCATTCTTGAAGGATGTTTTGAATGATCGCCTGCGGGCGATATTAGCCCGAAGACATGATGCGTGATGACCTACGCGGGGTTGAGCGTGGGATGAGGGGAATTGACGCCAGTGGTGGAAAATTGGTGGCGTAGCTGCACGAAGGGTCTTGGCAGATGTAGAGGTTCTCGTTGTAACATATGTCAAGTTTGGCTGCGAAAGAGATATCCACGGGTCAAATCTGCTGCCGTGGGAGTTTGGTGGTTGCAATGGTGAAGATGATAGTCTCGTGAAATTGGACGTAGTCGCAGAGACAAGTCAAAAGAACCACCATGGTTGATAGTAATATGAAGCCTTGTGCGCTCCATGATCGACCAGCCAGGAGCAGCCTTTACGTCTTTTTCTACATCATGCACGAAGTAGAACGAGAGTAAGAAACACGGTCGAGTTCGATTTCTCATCAACATAGCTATTCTAGAACCCAGCCCTCCATTCGAGGGGAAATCACCAAGATCCATGAGATTAGTGAATTGGATAAAACCACTAACAATTGTTCATCAAGAAAGGCTCTTCCCAGTGGGGGAGTTTGGTGCGAAGCGTAACTTCTCGTACATCTTAGATCTCCGCAATCCGGAACTTTTCCCATGAGACGATCTGAAGAGCTAGGGCAAATCCACCTCAAAAGTTCGCTCTTTTTCGCCCCTTTTTTTCTCTTTCTATTCCTGCCTACCTACGCCTCTTGTACCGCGACCACTATGGCGATAGGAGCGAGCTGGGGCAGAAGCTCGGGCCAAGTGCGGCGTTGAGAGCAGTCTTCCTACTACTAGCCCTACAAACCCTGGAACCGTCATCCAATCATATCTCATATCCCCGATGGCACAATTGGCTAGCGCGTCAGACTGTTAATCTGGAGGTTGGTGGTTCGAGCCCACCTCGGGGAGTTACAGCGGTTAGATTCCGCCTAGACGTGAGAGACTTTCCTTTTTGCTTTTGCGCCTTTCCCGTTCCTTCTTCCTCTTACGGTTATACCTAGGAAGCCGGAGTTTTCAACGATGTTTCTCTTGTATCCATCCGGCGAGCAATCACGGGCCAGCTTTGCCCTCCGGCGGGTCCACAAATACCTATTAGGCTGTTTTTGCTTTGCCGCTTTATAGATATGTGATCCGTTTTCTAGGCGGCAACAGTAAGCAATCAGACTTCCCGCAGAGGTAACAAAAACCTGATTTCGGAAGACTTTAAACTCGTTCCTGGCAGCTTCTACGGAACTTTCCAGAGACCGCCATACAGACAGCCCGATGATAGGCAAAAGGTGTCAATTGACTCTTACTTGCCATAACACTTGGGATCAATGACCCCGAGCCGGAGCGGAATCCGAGGTGCATTGCCTAAAGCAAAAACGATCGTGAGGGGTCAGTCGGGTGGGCGGCGTAATCGCTTGGACCCCATGACAGCTCGAGCAAGTTCTATGGACCAGGACCGCAAGACATGGAACGAAAAGAAGGTGATCGTTCCGGATGTTCCGCTCCAAGTGGTGATGGTTGATAGTGCTAGAATGCATCCCTCTTCTAGGTTTCTTCTCTCGAATACTCGCATTTACTTCCCGTCCGAGGTTGGGCTGCTCGGAAAGACTCTCTGCAAGCGCCCGCCAGCTAGCGTCTTGGACGTCAGTCGAGTCGATGGTGATGAGGCCTCTTAAATCGAGGAACAGATGGAAACTTTCGAAGCTGGTAGAATAAGCTTTGATCGAGAACGGACAAAGTTGGGGGCGCCGGCTGGCAATGTAAGGCTGCTTGCGCATGATGTTGAGACGGACTTTCTCTGCGCTGAGTAAGGTCGTAGAAGCTTGTTGCTGTAGAGCGAGCGGGATCTCTAGGTCAGACTAGACGTGTTTGTAGACGAGAAACTCCCATAGCAAAAACGATATGGACTCTAGGGGCAAGAGCTGAGCATTTGTAGTCCTTAAAGTGTGCAGCTAACTTGGCTAAACGACTTGACGTTAAGAGGCCCATCTTGGCACTATGGGTGCTCAACTTGGCGTTGACAGCTTGAAGGCTAGAGTTGAGGCTGTTAAGGCCCAGGGAGTTGGCTCACGGCATGGCAGACAGTCGATCTCGGGAGATGTCTGCAATGCAACTGCATTCCACCCCCCACGCTTGCCCGCCGCGGCGCCGCCATCTCGGTCCCGCATCTCAGTCAAGCCAAGTTCCCCGACCTCAACTTTCGCCATGAGTAAGGACCGACGATCGTACACGCGTCTCGCCGCTCCTCATGTTCACGACGCACCGTTGAATCAAGGTTTGATTTGGGTGCATGCAGCCCCTCAACCGCTAACCCGATTTTAATGTCCGAGCCGCCGCGATTGGAAGACTACGCCCTCAACTCCTTGAGCCTCTCATACCCTCCCATCGGAACTCACAATGGGAACTATCTCGCGTCCAAACTATATGCTCCATCAATAATCATATGATGCTCGGAGTGACCATCCCATGGCCACAACGAAAGCGACGCCGAGGCGGGTTTCCCATGTCATGGGCCGTGGCAGGCAATTTCTACTGGCGTCCCGTGCAGCCCCTCGTCGGTGGAACCTTTTTTAGACTTCTTCTTAACACCCTTGGGAAAGAGGGGCAACGCGGGGTAGCTTCGTTGAGTAGCCGGCGAGACCGTCCGAAGAGCCAAGTACCATGTGCAAGCCTGGTCTGTTACGCCCAACTTACACCTGCACTGTTCAAGGTCTTCGTGCCCAGGTGTACAAGTCCGGTGTCTGTGAGCCCAGCAACGTCAATCATGATCGACACTATCCGTGCTGACACCCTGGATAAGCTCTCTTGAGTTGGAGCTATGATCCTGGAGTAGCTAGGTCGGGCAGCTTGGGTTCCTATCGCACATTCTGGCTATTCTAACTGGAATATCCTACTGGTCTAGTTGAACATGATAATGAGCACGACTCCAGTATAGGTGAGTTGATTCGCAAGGAGGACTCTGAAAAGAAGTCTTGTGCAACTGTCCGCACGACTCGGAGCAAGATATTCGCATGCTACGTAGTCGGAGATCGAGGCTCTGCGGCCATTACCAACCAGTTGAGGCTGCCACACAAAATCTCGCACCCACACACCCACATATAAGAAGCTTTCGCCGTGCCGGGACAATGACCTGCAGAAAGATCCGTCACCCTGGAACCCTAGCTCAAAAATGTCAACCCAACAACATCGAAATGTCATTGATGAACGACATGCGATTTGAAACAGTGTACTTCGGATCACTTAGATGAACTGGTGTAGACCGGACGCGTTTACGTTTACGGTGCGGCTTTTCCACAGCTTACAAGAAAAGTCTTCTTTGAGCTCGTCTTTCTACGCTGCAAGATTTTGTATGGTTTTCAAACCGAATCGAAAAGTTGGCGGCTGATCGTTTTGCATGAATCAATGACACTCGACATATTCCCAATTACGGTGAAAAGGTCGGTGAAAAGTCTCCACCAAGTATCGCGTATTAGTGTTTACTCCATGTCGAGAGTGAGTTCTTCAGCTGGGTCTGGAGCATTAGGAGGATTGTACCAATCATGAAGCTATCCGAATGGCATGTTCTAAGCTTCACACTACGCTCCCTTGTCCGCGTGGATATCTCCTCGACTGAACCGACTCCTGCGCGAAAACGGCAAATTTGACTCCAACTCCACTACTAGGAGGAGGGGCAAAGTTGGACATCGTCCTCCAATTCACTATCAAGTAAGCTTGTTGCCGTTATGCGCAGCATGCAGACTGGCCTTAATTACACACGATGCTTGCGTGGACCAGAAGCTTGCTTTCTGGCGATAAGCAATTCGGTTCCTGGATTGCCCCTCAACTCTAGGCCGCATCTAGACCCGGTCTCAACCAGAATGTCATCCTGGTGTCCGACAATCCTTGGGTTTTCATAGGCGGCATGACTGTACCCATGCTATTACCATTCGAAAAAGTCAAAGGCGAAATCCATCATGTTAGCTTAATCTCAAGCTCGGCGCCAACAACCTCAAAAGTTGACTCAACGATTACGCTAGCTTCTCTAAGCGGCTCTTCTCATATCCCGAAGGAGGCCGACGGAGAAGGATAGTGATAACGAGACTTTGACGCTGAGATGCAGAAGCCGGCTCGGGTAGTCTTAATCGTATCTCTTTTCAGGAGTTCTAAGCGAGTATTCGTCCCTTGATACTCACTGGTGTCTATCAGTGACAAGTATAAAGGCCAGGCAATATCTTCTCGTCATGAGCTGTGCTGCCTGTATTACAAGCCAACTTGACTGAACCTTGGCCGGTCAATGAGTCTCTCTCACACACCTATTTATCAACTACCCTTATACCCACATAAGCGATCAAATTATATCTTACCACTTTTTCCCGCAACATTTACAACATGCGCTTTCTCTTCACCATCACTTTGGTCATATTAACGGCCGGTGTAACCGCAGTACCCGTCGCAGTGCTCCCCAGCCTGATTCATCCCCCAGTTCATGTCTTCAGGGCTGACCCTGCCGCCGAAGCTGCCGATGCGGAGCCCAATATCGAGGCCCGTGGAAAGAACAATGTTGATGTGTCTGACTGGCAGCAAGAGCCTGAGATTCAAGCCAGAGACGAGGCCGCGACTGAGGCATGGGACCTAGAGCCACAGACCCAACCGCGAGACGCCCCTCATATCCAAGCCAGAGATGAGGCCGCTCTGGACAACGTCAATCTTGAGACTGAGATTGAAGCCCGAGAAGAGCCTCAGATCAAAGCCAGGAATGAGGCTGCACTCGACAACTATGACTTAAACCCCGAGGTCCAACTCAATGACAAGCCTCAGAGCAAGGCCAGAGAGGAAGCTGCTCTACCTGACAACTTCGACCTGAAACCTGAGATCCACGCCAGAGATGAGCCTCATATCCAAGCAAGAAGCGAATCTAAGGCTGCATGGACTGACCCAGACTACCACGCTGGAGGTGTTACCGCCGCAGACGACTGGAAGTACAGAGACAACCTAGCCAAGCTCGACGCCAACAACTGCGGCGTAGACTGCCATCGCTCCCTCGACTCATACCGCTCCAAGGTGTCCAGAGAACACAGGCCATACTACGACCGAAGCACGAATTACCACAGCAGCAACTACGACCACCATGACTACAATTATGGAGTCCAAAGATCTTCCCGCGCTTCGAGGGGCGAACACAACACACCCGCGGATGACTGGAAGTACAGGGACAACCTCGTCAAGCAGGACAACCACGATTGCGGCTCGGGCTGCAAACATTCGCTAGCCTCGTACCGCTCCGTGGCCTCCAAGGATTCAAGGATTGCTAGGGAGAAGGACTATCATAACTACAACCACCAGGATGACAAGTACAACAACTGGCATCCCAAGGACTATCATGTGAACGGCAACGGTTATAACCATAACAACGGGCATTATGACGATAGGACCATCAGGACCAACACCTACTATCCCAAGGACCATCATTCTACCAACTATAATGATATCCATCATAATGATTACCATGGCAACAATTACCATACCAATGGCAACGGCTATGACCACCATAACAATGGCCACGATTATGGGGTTCAGAGGTCCTCTAGGGCGTCGAGAGGAGAGCACAACACCAGGCAGGATGAGATAAACCACAAAAACAATCATTACAAGTTGGATCATAACGACTGCGGCGTCAACTGCCACAAGTCCCTTGCCTCGTATCACTCGGTTGCATCTGCAGACTCGAGGCGATCCAGGCAGTCGAGGCAGTCAAGACAATCTCACGGAAACCACGGCCACTAAGAATCGAGGGGATGCTCTCGTTTTAATAGTTGAAGAAGCCGATTATCAACATGATCCGAGCCTGCAGGAATTTTTGGAGCCTCCCAAGCACGAAAGATATCGCGATGCGAGATGTGTTTAGCAGGCGAAATAATGACGTGGTTGAGTTAGTGTGTATCGAGCTCAGATAATGGCAAGCCAGTTAGCAGTACATTAATGAAAATGAATTTTGACAGACAAGAGCCAACGAATCATCGAGAGACGATAGGAAAGTAATCACAGCGTTGTTCGTCAATCATGATAGCTTGATTATGATGTCGACGGGGAACACCAGGAAAATCTTCACTATCAAATTGGGTTCTGCAATATTTACTGCGACGGTATACATATGTTGTCCAAGGAACTTTTTGAGTGATGGGAGGTGTTCATTAACCGTGGCAGCAGGTCAGACCGGGTATTCATCGTGGATGTAAAAGCGAACGATGCTTGGCAGGCTGAATAAAGACAGGCTTTCTTTTCAGTATTCCTATCATGAGTTCAACTTACCACTCGTGCTTGCGCAGCGGAAAGACATAGAAAATGGGCGCTCTAGGGTTGGGTCAGAAAAGACTGTCCACGAACCCAGGCTTTATGATTACGATAGCATTGAGAACTCGGGAAGTTCCTGTGACTCGTTCATCTTGTTGAGACTGAAGTGGATTATATGTTGTAAACTACTACCTTCGTACATGTACCGGGGTAGAATGTGCTATCCTGATGATCAGCCAATATATTCCTTCTAAGTAACTTTATGATATCAACATGGCTATGCTTTAGTAGCGGACTTTACTTTCTAGATGTAATCCGTTCCAAGGCATATCTATGGCTGATTTGCTGCACTCAGCACCAGCACTGACTCACACGTTGGATAATTGATCATCAACTAGGTTTATGGGAGTATTGACAGCAGAAAAAGAGACTTAGAAGGTAGTCTGGGCCGCTGCGAACGGCCCTTTCACCCACCTAATTACTACCAACGGAGGAATCATAGGCTACGCCCACCAACTTCCCCCTTCCATACACATCCGCAATTCAATACCATATTATAGAGTTTCTTACCGGCCGAAAAAGGCTTTCCCGGCTGACGTGTATAACAAGAAGGTTCCCTCCAGGAGAGTTGCGCTGTATGGCTATCCTGCTCACCGGGGGAGCGACCAGTGCCATCAACAACACCCTCTCTTCACGACAATTCAAAAATAAATGATGCAGATCAAAAGATAAACTCCTCGACGGGGAATTGAACCCCGGTCCCCTGCGAATCGTTGTCAGGGAACAATTTCCCGATGACAAGCAGATATCCTCACCACTAGACTATCGGGGATGTTGCTGTGGTCAAAGACTCTCTCACGATCATTATGGAGGGCGACGACCCCACCGCACAACTCGCACCTGGCTTTTAGTGAGGTGGAGAATGAAAAGTTTTCATTAGAATAGTTCAGTAGACGTTGGCAATAGAGATCGAGAAGATTCAAGGTGGGATGACATTGCCGTGGTAGCAGCATTGTTCGTCAGTAACCGTGGTAGCACTAGATCTCCTGATGACAACAGTTTGGCTTTTCAGAGTTGCTTTCACCTTCAAGCTATGTTGTGCAAATGTCACTAATGGCATTCTGAGTCTTCCATGGGTTGAGTTCCGAGATGAGAGCATAGCGAACCCGGAACCGAAGTCCCCACAGAGGTTCGACAATGTGCCTTCTACTCACAAGCTCAGGGTCGTATATCCAAGGTTGACACCGCGATGCAAACATAAACGACGTGAACATATCAAAATGACATACTTCAAGCACAAGTATAAGGACATGGTTTACATCCAGCTAGGGACTGCGTAGTGTAGCAAGATCAATATTAAGGCGTAAGTTGTGTCGATGAACGCACCCCACAATCAACCTTCCATGTAGTTGAAAGACATGAGCGATAGTGAAAGTATCGTGATCCAAGCGCATGAAGTGACTAGGTAGTCACAACCGTTTTCAACCCGCCTTTCTTCTATTGAAGATTGATCTTACACCATAGAAAGACATTGGAAATCGGACGTGACCTGGATTCCTTAGTGCAATTATGCAGCTACTGCAGTTTTGTGGTTGAGACATTGGGTTTGATAAGCTGACAGGAGGATTGTCAACGAAGTTGAATAGGCACTTGCCAGTAGTTTCTAGATGATTTCTCCGGTAAATAAAGGACATCCACACGAATGTGCGACTTTTCGAAATTGTCTTGATGGTGGATGACATACCAAGTATGATTGCGTGATGTTCAATGGGCATTCAAACTGATATAAAGTCTAATAAAACACACTCGTAATTACAAAACCCCGGTTCTTGATCACCCGATGACATTAATTCATTCCTTTCTTTCATGAACCATAATGACTTCATCTGACTGTTGATAACCAAACATTGCGCTCCGAGGTGTATTGGGGTCCATGACAGACCCTGCGTTCGATTGCGTTATGTTTGACGATAAAGTACCTGACTTTGAAGACTGTCTGCCCTTGGCGATAGGTGTGAGTTCCTCGTTCTGCACCTCACGCTTCGATTTACTTGACCCCGTAAGTGATTCCCGGGTGTAATTGACAAGTTTGGGGAAGAACCTCCACGCAAGCTGTCGGGCGGCAGGCATGCAGGCAACGAAGATCCCCACGCAGAGCTCTACATAGGACCAAATAATACCCCAAAGGCAATCGGCTATGTATAAAAGTCAGCTTCGACATTTAATCATAGAACACTAGTGTCACGTACCAGTGATGTTGAAGCTCGTAGCAAACACCAGAAGACTTTTGATCCGTACAATGCTGACTGAAGTGAGGCTTTTCTGTCGTCAGACTGGAGCATGCGAACAACATTGAATCAACGAAAAGACTTACAAAACGCCTACACTGAACATCGCCATCACACCGATTTTCTTCTTGAGCTCCATGTTAAGCTTATATAGTTGCGTGGCCGGTAAAATTAGCATCCACACGTCGAGCGCAATGTTAAACGCTACGTGCGTCAAGCCGATTGTGTTAAGATCTGCGCAGTGGCCATCTTGCTCGCCATCCCACCCGTTCCAATAGTGCTGGAATGGCTGGCACTGAACGAGGCTGAGCAAGATGTAGCCTCCCCCGAGAAGAAAGTTGAAAATCTGCGTGCACCAGAGAAGGGTCCTGAAGCCTTGAATGTTGAAGACTCGTATGTACAAGTATATTACCGATGCCTTTATGACTGCCAGTCCAGAGATGTAAAAGAGTTGGAGAACGAACAGGAGCTGGGGTTGACTTGTCAGATGAATTCTAGGGACTGTGTGGGATTCTTACTTTCAGAAACATTGTAATCTCATACGGCTGCAATGTCCAGATATCTCGTCCTAAGCCATATCGCATCACTATTCGAGGTTGTTAGTCAAATCATCTCAAAGCTGACCGGATGAACTTACTGGTGAAGATGATCGGCGGAAAAGGTATCAAAAACGCCTATATCCGTATCAGACCTGTATTCTTGAACGCGCTTGGAACGTTGGACTGGCACGCATACAAAAGCGATACATATTGCTGTATCTTCTGCGCCCCAGGGCGCAAGACGCATAAACCTGGCCGACAGTCTGATTGCCATGAAAACCACCGGTAGGATGAATAAAAAGATTGTCGTGTATCGCGCCGTACTCGTCCGATCAGTCAGGGGAAACCCGCAGGACGACCACGTCAAGTTTGTAACAGCTAGATCATTGCATCAGCATCAACAATCCAACACATGATCGAGCGTCAACTAGCAAATTCGACATGCTTACCCAATGCTTCCTTTATCGTGCACGCATCTTTTACGCAGTCGCCAACAAGCCTGTTGAAAGTCGGATCGACACAAAGACATGTTTGATTCGAGATAGTGCAAGGTGATTGGGGAAGAGCTGAAAGAGCGCAGGATATCTCGAGAGAGTGTTAGTATGGTCACACCAAGCCCGCGAGAAACTCGTGGAAAAGTCGTAGGATACTGCTTACAGCGCACTGAGGAGCGTCAGCAATGGAGGCGGCTGACGCCAGCCCTGTTAGCCCAGTCAAGAGCAAAGGGAGAAAAGAAGCCTTCATGGTGCAGCTCAGGGGTTTCCTTCTTGGTTCGCACCAGAGAACGCAGTGGTCTTTGATCGGGTACTCTGAAACCTCTATTGTCGGTATCCCACATTGCATGCGTGGCAGCGTGGGATTCTCGGTATTATACGAATCTACATAATCGACGGAAACAATGCTAGTGTCTACCATCTTTTCGATGATGCACACTGAATCCAGACCCAGAAGCCGGTCAACAAAAAACCACATCAGCGGCAAAGACGATCCCTCAAGATCGGCTCAAGTGGGAAAGGGCGGGCAAAGGGCTTGTGGGCGCTTCAGCTTTGGCGAGTAGGGGATGGCTGTCAACGCCAATGGGCGCGTTCTTGGCCTGGCGTGCATTGTTGTTGAAAGAAAACAGATCGTTTTCGTGTATGGCTATGGCTGCGTCGAGGACGATAATTGCGCCACAGGCGCAGCGTGGCTGGGAGGCCATGGCTGGCAATCTCGTCAGCTCTTGGGGCAACAAAAACCGCTTTTTGCATATCAGTTCGATGGGCAATAATCCGTTCCCTGTGGCTATCGAGAGAGACAATGCTAACCTATTAAGGCTGGTCTTTGAAAGCACAATTCACTGGCTTTTATTACCGTGCAATGCCGTAAATGCTCCGTAGTCGCGGATAGCGAGACTAGATCGCCGGATTTGGATCTAGATTCGCCGAATCGCACATCGTATCTAATGCGATAAATTCGATCGCACGTGGGGTACATCCATGCCCAAATAACGGGTTGAAACGAACTCGGAGCTACCCTCCGATATGTGTTTGTTTGTTTCAACAGCCGGCCTGTTGTGCTCGCCGTGTTACCTCAGGCAAGATAAGATTTCTTCTCAGACTCAGCCACGTGTAGCGCGCGTCTGAGGTTTTGGAAGACGTCTTAATTGATTCATTCAACAGATCATCCGCTCAGCGACGGCCTCAAGAATCTGAGTGTGTGCCCACCTTACTTTACGTCAAATCCTCTACACCACCATCCGAAGGTTCAAGCATTAAACGTCAGAGGTTGAGACGAGACAAGGACACTCCCTGGATCTAATCAAGATTATCAATCAATCTGCATATATCCGTGCCCCAGATCAAACGTTCAATAGCTTATCCGTGAAATGAAATCAACAGGGATAAATTTTGAAGGTTCAAGTGTTGATTGGATCTAAGCCATAATACGTGATGAACTATAACCACGATATTGACTAGAAAGGATACATTATCACAGTGAAAGAGAAATCTGATTTGAATGGCAAACCTCGAAAGGGTAGGATTGTATTCATGTCATTATTGGGTATATTGCATTCATTAGATACCCTTTTCAACTATTGGAAACCTCTCAGGCTTCTTTCATACACATTTTGTTTTAGACCTGGGCAGGCTTCTTCTCGGCATGCTCAGACATTCCCTGGATACCCTCAGCAGCCTCCTGCTTCTCGTTGTAGACAACATCTCTCGCCTCGGCATCAGCGTTACCGTGGAGACCAATTCTGTACCAGGGAAGCTCGAAGAGGCGATCCATATCCTCGAGAGCACGGCCAGAAGTCTCAGGAACGAAGAACCAAACCCAGGCACCACCGATGAGGGTGATGGCGGCGAACGACCAGAAGGTACCCATGGGCGAGATTCCACCGACGGAGGTGGATGCCAGCATATTGGGGACGGCACGAGAGTTGCCGTACTGGTTGGCAAAGTGAAGAGTCATGGCCCATGAGGTGGCGAGGGCGCGGACACGGAGGGGGAACAGCTCAGCAGTGAGGAGGTACTGCATGGAGTTCCAGCCGAGAGCCCAACCGAAGCCAGAGACATAGATCATGGCGATGGCACCCTTGCTGACGCCGACCAGGTTGGAGGGGAGCTCAAAGGACTCGTCGACACCAAGCTTGGGCACGTGGGTGAGGAAGGAAGCAATGTAGACCATGGCAATGGCTTGCAGAGTGATACCCGTAAGCAGAGCGCGCTTGCGACCGATGACATCGACCAGGAACAGCGCACAGCCGACAGCAGCGACGAGCTTGACGACACCAAAGACGGCGGTAATGAGAAGGGACTCGTTCTGGCCCTCGATACCGAGGATCTTGAAGAGATCGGGAGCGTAGAGGGTAATGGAGCCGGCGCCGGACCACTGGGAGAGGAACTGGACCATGGTGGTGAGGTAGAGACGGTACAAGTTGCTGGGGACGAGGAAGAGCTCCTTGACCTTTCCGAACCAGGTGGTACCCTTGGTGGCCTCGAGCTCTTCCTGGTGAGAGTGCTGGATGGCGTAGATCTCACGGGTAACGTACTCATGGTCGACGGGGAGGTGACGGAGGTGAGCCATGGTTTCGGTGGCCTCCTCAATCTTACCCTGCTTGACGAGGAAGCGGGGCGACTCGAATTGGAAGAAGGTCAAGATGAAGATGATACCAGCGAACATGATGTGCAGGGAGGTGGGCACGAGCCAGCGGTTGTGGGTGGTGTCGCCGAGGTGAATCTGGCAGCCGTAGTTTGTGAAGTAGGCGAGCACGATACCCAGGTAGACGAAGCCGGTGAAGACGCAGGTGCAGAGACCACGGACGGAGGCCGGGGCAATCTCGGCAAGGTAGACGGGACCGACGACGGGTGTCTGGCCGACACCGAGACCGGCGATAAAACGACCAGCGTAGACGGCGCCGAGGTGTCCGTTGTTGGCCATGAAGATGGCAATACCGATGATCCAGATGACGCAGAGTTGACGGGTAGCCCAGATACGGCCGATCTTATCGCAAATGACGAAGGCACTGTACGTGGTATCAGCGGTTAGAGAGAGTTCTGCGAAGAGACTTTGAAGAGGGAAAGTGTAGCCAAGCTTACAAGAGAGCACCAGCGACGGAACCGAGCTGAACCATGGCAGAAACGTTGGCCTTGATGTTGGTCTTCTCGGCAGCGCTGTATTGATCGTAGTGAATGAACTTTTGGAAATCCTTGGAACCGAAAGCGCCAGAGATGAGACCCTCATCGACACCACGGGCCGCGCCCATGAGGCCGAAGGAGATGACAGCGAACCATAGCCGCCAGTTGAAGACGCCCTCGGGTTCACCGAGGTCGCCCAACTTGAAGATGTTGATGGGCTTTTTGACACCACCGCCTGCCATGTTGATGGTATTTGATTTGCTCGCACGGGATATTCAAGATGGACAAGAAAGGTGTGGGAGGAGGTGCGTGGGCTTTGGGGTATGAACACGACGGTTGAGGAACAAGAAACCTGAAGAAGGGAAAGGAGTGGTTCCTATTAATACTTAGATCTGAGGAGAGAAGGAGGAGGAGGGCACACGTAGATCCATACCTCCCTCGTTCTACATCACACTAGATCCCATCTTCGCGTGGATCAACCCAACCTATCTCCCCCGTCCCCGCCCCAGAGAGTGAGATGACAGCCAGCGGCCAATGCGACCCCATGGGAAAAGAAGGGTAGAGGATGTCGGGATGGATGGTCTCCGGCGACTGGCCAATCGCTCAACTTCCGTTCCACCATCGTGAAAAATTACGAGGGGAAGGAACGAACGGATGGTGTCCTTGTTACGAAACTAAGCAAGGGTGGCTTGAGATGGGGGGTACCAGTATGGGGATGAACATGGAGATGCGTGGGGAGGAGACCTGGCGAGCGGCGGCGGTCGAACAAGGTCGTGAAGTGGGCGGCAGCTTGCCCAAATCCGGCCATGCCAACCGCGCGCCGGGGGCGGGTTTGGGGTAGGTTGGGGAAGACTAGGAAGACTAGGAAGACCAGGAGGGGGGGGAGAAGGCGGGAAGAAGGAAGATAGAAAGGCGACGAGGATGTTGCCGGTCAGATCTCCGGCGGCCTTTCCAGCTCGTACTCACAAGAGCCGCTGCTCATCGTCCATCTTGACTGTGACATTCGTCCACCTTCGTAGTTTTTCTCGGGCACACCTGTAACTGTGTCACCGCATAGGACCTATCTAACTATCCACTTTGATAATGCAATGGCAGAGTACACGTTATCCTCTCGGATCTTCGGCATGCTGAAAAAGGAAGGAAAATGTGTTGATGAATTACTCATTGCTGGGACGAGATATCACAATCTGAATCACAGCGAAGAACCGCCGAGTCGAATTGATGTAAGTGAAAGTTGACGGAAAAGCAGGAAAAAAGGGGACCAAGAAAAAAGTGAATCAACGGAAAAGACGCTGATACAAAACTCAAATTTCAAAAGCGTTCACCTGCCCCTCAAAAAGCGAGGATAACCACTGATTGACATCGGATGACTGGTTGATTTAGCTCAAGGATAACCGTGGCTATAGGCAGCACGGTCTTCATGCCGCCCTCATTCGCTTTCATATTTCGACATACGTTGGACTAGCGAGGCAGCCTATACTTGCCTCAACCGACGCGTTGGGATCAAGAGGCTCCCGCAAGTTTCCGTAATGCAACACACCTACATGCCATTCCATGCAGTAAGTTTTCGTAAACTGCTCTATCATTAGCCAAAGCGTCAGACGGAGCTACGCCGCTCGTTCCATAGCGCACCGACGGCGCGCGCGAACGTTGATGGTGGTGGTCGGGACAAGAAATACGCCTCAAGTCTTGTTTGCGCCGGCAGGCTGCTGTCCCGCGTCGCTGGATTGGAACCAAGACTTTTCACCAAGGGCGATCAGCCAGCGCCAAGTGACGTGATGTCTCCCCCGGCTGGGCGTCTGGGCTCTGCCAAGAAGGAACCTGAAGAGCTGGCCAAGTCGGGCCTGGCGGCAGGGTTTACTGAGGTACCTTACCCAACGGCATCCAAAGTTGCGGTCCGGCTGACTGCTCGCGTGTTCTTGGCTCTTCTCACTGTGAGACAGACTGCAGTGATGCACTGCCTGACTACCTACCTAGGCTACGGATGAGTCTGTGTGTGCGTTGACTGCGTTGTTCTCTGTGTGTGCGCGCTATCGTGCTACCCCTGGCTGATATAGGAGTTGGCTCCGCATTCTCCGCGCTTTGGGGTTTGGAGAAGATGAGATGGTCCAGACGAGCAACCATTTCCCCGCAACACACCACTCTGGCACTGCAACCCTCCTCAAGGATTTCTAGAAACATTGGCTGCGATATGACTCGTCGACGGCCGATGCTCGCTAGTCTTGCTGACAAACGGATGAGCTCCAGGAGGAAGAGGGGACCAAGAAGATGGAGAACAAGACTGGAGTACGGTGACACGGTCTACGCAGAGGTAGTGAAGCCTACTGCGAAGAGGAGGGGGGGAAGATGGAATCCAAGACAAACCACTCGCAAAAGCCCCATCATCGGCCCATGATCCATGTCCAAAAGGCCGTTTGCGCGCGTGGAACCCAACAAAAACACGCAAGATTTCCCCCATCCCCATATCTCAAAGTGCTTGTTTCGTCGCTGGCTAAAGTGCTAACGCAAGCTGCCTTGCGTAAAGAACTGGATACCCGACATGTTCGCACTCCGCAAGCTCGCAGCTCGCAGCTCGCCGCCGGCCGGTGGATCCCGAATGGACCGTTTCGGGCTTAAGTCGACGGGGCCATCAACTGCCGCTCGGCCATCTTCCGTGAGGGCGAAGACGGAGTGCGCCCGCGAGCCTCGAAGCCATTTTGGAATCGAGTCATCGCACCCCGGTCTGCTCCGGTTTATTGATACCTAGACGTGAAAAGATGCAGAACGCCAGAGCCAGAGCCCGAACGGAGACAGGCTAATTCAGCCATTCAGCAGAAGAGCAGACATTAGCCTGCGACAAGGTCTGGCCCATCGGGGTTCGACCGACGATATTCGCCTCTCTCTTTCCTCTCACAGTGACTCTCAACCTCTCTCTCTTTCATCTCCCTCGGCTCGGTGCCCATTTTTTCGTCTCCTCCCCTCATTTTAGCCAAATAAGATGGATCTCGTAGTGACTCTGACCCCGTAGAATAAGCTTACATGTCCGTACTTGGCCAACCAGAGGAACGATAATTTGCGCCGTGATACTTTGATACGCCTAGTGATTCGTGAGCTTTGGGGAAGATCCGGCGACAGCGCCAGGGTATCTCGGCCAGATTCCAAGTTTCTCAACCTCGCCCTAGGGCACGGTCTTGGTATCAACCCCAAGTCCCTTTGATGGATCATGGGCCTCCCTTCAACCCCAAAGACCCCACGGAGAAAGCTTCCTTCAATGGGGATGGTATGGGGAAAACTGGAGTTGGAATATCTAAGCGCTCAACTTACAGCTCGCGTGAGGTCTTGACGCTTCCACACACACCAAAAGAGTAGCAGGCAATGTAGGACACAGACGCACGCCATGTTCTTAAATGGCACATTCTCAATAACAGGGTGCTTCTTGTCAACCCCGGCGCGGACGGAGTCCACCCGTCAGGGTCGTCACATGGCGAAGGAAGCGGAGGAAGTCCAACAGGCAACTCCCAGCCACCCAGGATCAAGCATGCAACCTACAGGTTTGCGGGGATTTCACGTCTTGGTAAATTAGACCTCATACGATCGTCCCACGCGGCGGCATGCCAACAAGAACTTTTTTTCTCCCTGAATTACACTAAGTATATTGGTCAAATCCTTTACCTGAGAATTTCCATGTTGGTGAAGAACTGGAGATCCTTCGTTCAAACTCAGACCGGCTTCGGAGGGCAGAATAGAGAGCGAGTCCGACTGATCGACGGTTGCAACGCTACTAGCGGCACGTACCAACGGTCCCAGAAACCTGATTTGTATGCTCTCGCCGCGCAGTTTCTTTGTGACCGCTCCCATGGGCCATCGGCCATGTAACAGTCCATCCTTGGCGCCGAAGTCTCGCCCTTTCTCCGCGTTGTGCCATTCCCCTGGGAAATCCGTACAAGATTACTCACCCACGGCCGACGAGACTCACCACTTTACTCATCTTCTGACCAACGACCTCCACATACCCTTGGTGCATGTCGCATAGTGGCTCTCCCCAAAGGCGACAACCCACTCAGCAGCAAAAGCGTCGTCAAAAATTCTCAGCAGCATCATCTGCTCCGGGTCCATGTCCACGCCGCAAACCTCGCACGGCGCGTTGACGGTTTCCTGGTCCTCGGCAGACAGCGCGACGATGTTTTTACACGAGCCGAAGAAGCACAAGCACTGCCCGCGGGCCGATGAGCAGACTTCGCGGCGTACCACCGCGACGTGGGCGCCCTTGCATCCGTCACGCGGAGTATTCCCGCCTACGGCGCCGGTGCAGTTTGCGGAGGTAATCCACTGGATGCACATGACTGGTGGTGGTTATCTTTCTCTTATTTCCCTCGTTAGGGTTATAGCTGCTACTATGTGAGTGAGATCCGAACGTGACAATCAGTACGTGTGTCGTATCCGAAATTTTGCTTGATGTATTGCCATGGAATTCTGGGCAGGCAGACGATGTTTGCTGATACTAGCGAACTAAATACCTTTACCACTCGGTGACTCTCGCTAAACAGACTTTATGTTTGTGTGTCAAACAATAGCATTGTCTGTCATTTGAAGACTCAGCCCTTACCTCAATCGCCACATTATTTGTTTTATGAGCGAGTTTGATTCACAACCAATATCTTTAGTTTTTAGGTCGCAACACACACACATATCCCTGCACAATCAGATTTCAATGTCTTTTCTCTTTGTTTAGTTACGTTCTGTCAAAACAGTCTTTGGGCATCTGGTGAAAGTCGACGTTCACAAAAGAACGCCAAGAAACCTTGGCAACCGTGGTTCCAAGCCACTTGGCATCGCCAAGATGGGCTCCAGCTAGAGCCTCAACTCCAATGACCCGCATCTACACTTCTCATTCAAACGGTCTGATATTACGTTCCTCTTCCATCTAGAAAACAATATGCCCCAGTGGGATGCTGCAGCGGACACATCCTCCCGCAACCTAATCGAGACATGACATGAACCATCACCCCCGGCCCGCTGCCGCCATCTCATCAACGAAGGTGCCGCATAGCCGGTCCAAAACGTGTCAATCCGTCGACCAACCCGCAGCACCGGAGTAATCCTCCTCCACCACAAAATTCTCCGCAACCTGTCAACATGCTCGCTTCCCCAGACCAGGCAAAGTGCCATGCCACGTTCCTCCTTCCTTCCCCATGGGCCATGGCGGGGGTGAGGTAAATGAATCACCCCCTCCGAGTTGAGGAACATGAACCCCCGGTACCAGAGAACGCACGCCACTTATACCCCTTTGATCCGTGAACTGCGTGCTCGTTTGAGTGTAGCTACCGCGCCGCCCCCAACGTTTCCCCAACGCGACCCTTTACCCCGTGCCGAGTTGCGTTCCCCCAAATTCCAGAAGAACTTCCCTTGCCCTTACCGTCCTCTCGTCGTCGTACCCCGCAAAGACCACCAGCTTCTCCACCGCCAACTTTGCATACTTCTTACTTAACTCCATCTCCCCCATGTTACGGTACACCCCAGCAACTATGCCATAGAACTCGCCCGCCTGCGCCGTCAACTCTTCTTTCACCAGGATATCTTCAAGCTCGTCGATCAGCTCCGCCACCAAAGACGGCGAGCCTGCGATGACTGGGTCCTCGAGCTCCGAGAAGATCTCCGACAGCCGTCTGCGGTAAGCATCTGAGATGGCCAGCACTTCGGGAGAGGAACTACAGAGCACGCAGGTGCAGTTGAAACCCCACTCTTGAAGAGCCTTTTGCCGGTCTTGGTACAGCATGTTTAGCATCGAGTCTGTACGTTCCTGATATTAGTCCTTTTCAAATGGCTGTGCGGGACGGATTCAGGGTTCTTACAACTGATGCTTAGTTCCTCGCCCGGCAAGATGTCTTTGTACGCCACGATTTCTAGTTCCAAGGTCCGGGGCGAGAAGCGGGTTATTGCACTAGCTTTTGGTAAGCACTCTATCTTTACCTATGTTGTATCGAGAAGGTTGCAGGCGTACTTGGGCTTACAAGCATGATTGATTCTCTGATTGGTGTCAGAAAAGCTGGAACAAGATGCTAGAAGCTGATCACCTACCGCGACCTTTGGAAACAGTCCAAGGTGGGCAACGTTATTGAAATTTGCGCCAAATGTGTTTGTTCGGATGATATCTTCCAGAACATGGCCCCCGGTGCTCCTAGAAAGTTCAAACACTCTTTGCTGATCCTCTCTCGGCAGCCGAATGAAGCCCTCCTCTAACACCCACAGAGCCTGCATCCAGCTAATCGGCTCAGATACTTGCGCCAATTGCACAACGACAGGGTGTTCCCTCAAGATGGCATCCCCCGCGCGGATGCGGATGTTTGCGACAGCTCCTACTTGGTCTATAGGGGTAAGTTTAAACTCCCTACCAGGTAGCGTGGGTCTGGCCAGGGTAGAGCAGTGACTCTCAATGGCCAAATTTGTGTTCGACGTGCACAAGAATCTCGAAAGTAATGCTGCTGATGTAATCTCGAAAAGCACGGGCGAAGATACCTGACAAGGGGGTTAAACTTTGGCCTGATACCGTAGTAAACCTTTACCCGGTATCGTCTCAACATGGAAGGGGAGTGGGTCGGCAGAATCAGGTGAAGGTTGAGTACTCGCCGATTGGGTGTCAAAATCCTCAACGAGACTGACATGACCGGCTGCAACCTCTGGGCTTGTGATTACGAGAAGACCTTTGTTCCCCTGAAAGTCTTCTTTGATGAAAGCGCAGTGTTGTAGTGTCTTGTTTGACTTTGGGCCCACACATACCGGCTCTTGCGTCCATGGGCGCCATTCCGTGACCTTGGCAGCCTTCCCTGAACTATACTTCAATGGGCATTGTTGTTCAAACTCGATGTTGATAAGTGGACTAGGGGTATCAACAATGTGGTTGAAAGGAGTTGACGAAACAATAGTCGTAACCAACAAAAGGCAACTCCAAGGCCAAACTATAAGCGAAGACAAGCCCATCGTAATCGCAACAAAGAGATAACAGATGGAATTCCTAGGAGAAAAGCTATCCTCGAAACGACATGACCTTATAGAAAAGTTTCCCTTAGCCAAGCAATGGGAGCCTCGCCATCACCATTATAGCCGACCAATCGAGATAGTTGCCGCTGCCACCCTCCTTGGCGAAACAAGCGTGGCATTTAGGCTCAACCCGCGATACTACGACCCCTTGCGACGATCTTTTTCTCGGCGCAGGATCTCGCTAGACTGAGATAGCTCCCGCTTTCTGCATTTCTGTACGGACCGGAGCGTCAAACGCCGCGATGCCAAGTTCTGCCAAGATGCTTGGTTTTTGGAGAAAGTCGTCGTGTGGCACGGTCTTTTAGCTGGGCTGGGCAAGACTTATGAGATGTAGGGGAACCCTGCAGCCATGGCGAAATTTGAAGAGCGTCTTGGAGTCAAGTGAGTCTTATTGGGTTCCTTGATGATGATGCCAAGACCAGGGAGAGGGGGGTGATCTGTGGTTATCGGGGGACGAGTTTCGTCAAAAAGGACAGTTAAGATCATAACGAGGTTATATTTAGCCGGTAGTATTCAAGCTCATTTGCTTTGCTTTGAACGTAACATGCTTCAGCATAAGAGGAGCAAAAAAATACGATTGCTAGTTCAATCGCTGACGGGAATTGAGCCCGACGTGGCTGGTTACTGTTAGTGAGGTGTTCGACGATATTCGGGATAGGCGTCTGGAGCTTACGGGTCGAACCCACAACCTTGAGATTAAGAGTCTCACGCTCTACCGATTGAGCTAGCCGGGCAATTGATGCGGTTGATGAAGATTTATCGGGTGGATTGAAGCTGATGGATTCTAGGTTGTGCGTGAGGTGAGGGCACGATCCACATTCAACACCAAGGGCATCCATCGTGAACCCTCCGGACGACCCGGGCCTCGGCGGGTCGGGGTGTGGGCCCTCTTTCGGGATGGCGTTTCGACTTGCCCAGCCTGGAGCAGGGTAGGGGACGGCTTTACAATGTTCTAATTTAGGATAATAATCTTATTTTAGCTCTTGCCCTGTGTCTTTCGTGCTTACAAGAGGATGAGATCACAGGTAGCTTATAGAATTAGGGAGCTCAAGACAGGTACTCGCTCATATAATGACACAGTTGTGGATGTTGCAATCATTCAATCCACATAACATATAACGTGGCGAATGAACAAACGAGATTAAGGCCTCATCCAAGTGGCAAACAATTCCGACACGCAGCGTTTTGGCTTTAGTTGATTCTCTTCGCGATTCCTTGAGCTCTAGACTCTATCTTATCTATGGCAACGTGTAACCACCATCAATAACCAGATTTGCGCCTATTTTTATTAGCTGATATGACAAAATAGTGTCCCTTGGAATTGAGGAGAAATACCTGTCATGTAACTGCTCGCACCACTTGCCAAATACACGTAAGATCCTTTCAATTCAGCAGGCTCGCAGAGACGATCGCCCGGGATCATGGAGAACCACTTCTTCCTCCACTCCTCGGGATGCACCGAAAGCACTATCAAAGTCAGATTTTCATCACTCAATAGACTCATGGTATCGAGATTGAACTTACTATCCGTTGCAATAAAACCGGGCGATACGCAGTTCACTCTCGCAAAGTCGACCCACTCGACAGACAACGACTTGGCCAAGTGCACCACCGCCGCCTTACTAGCATTATACGCCGCCTGCTTCTGCGGGACGTTAACCAAGATGGCGGAAACTGAAGCCGTGAAGATTATGCTCCCTCGACCGTCACTACCACCTTTCAACTGCCTCTCGAAGACCTTGGCAGCAGCTTGCGCAGTCCAAAAAGCCCCGTGGAAATTGACGTCCAGCATATCACGGAACTTGTCCTCTGGATATTCGATGGCAGGGATGTGGTCTGCGATTCCGGCATTGGCAACGACAACGTCGAGCTTGCCGCCTCCGACTTCCTTTGTCGCAGTCTCAATGACGGATTCCACTTCCGCCCTGTTGCGGACGTTGCATTTGTACGCCTTTACAAGCACCCCATTGCCTGATGCAGATAGTTTGGCAGCCGTGGCATCGGCTTCTGTGGGGTCGGTGCTCGTGTATGTGATTGCGACCTTGGCACCGGCCTCAGCGAGTCCGCGGGCAACTTCCAGGCCGATACCTCGGGTTCCGCCGGTAACGATGGCTGTCTTGCCGGTCAGGTCAAAATGCGCGATGACGGGCGCTGTCGGGTTTGGGTGGCTTGGAAGAACCATCTTGGATATTCTGTTGCGTCTCAGGAACTAAGAGGCCGTTGGTGGGTGAGGACAAGGATAAAATTGCAATGTGAAGGCCTGACTGTTGTTTGCTGGCCAGCTGAGAGCTGCGTCCAGGAGATTTGTACCGATGAGAATACAATTACGATGGACTCCGAAACCCTTTACGTCCACCGGCGAATTAGGCCGACGGTCGACAGGCTTCCGGAGCGGGAGGGGCCATTTCGGTGCGGGGAAGATGCTGCACTCCGGGTGCCTGTCACCCCCGTCCGCCCATCTAAAGGCGGGTAGTAGGGAATCGACTGAGGTTAGTAAATGACAACTGCCCAACTGTTTGCAAGAAGACGGAGCAGCGGATTCTATCCGTATCGCTTGAAGTAGTAAGGCGCATGAGAAATATTGTAAGATAGTATCCAGGACAGACTGGTGGTATTAGTGAGCAGTGGAATATGAGAATTGTTAACCAGCCACCATATGTGCACGTACATCACCGACGTAGGATTTGGGAGTCTGCCCAAAAGTATGAGCAGAGACAGATACATGAATGTTTACTTCTTAAAATCCTGAGTCATACCAATCTACAGAAGGCTTCGGAGCGTTTGACATGAATGTTCAATCCATATTTTCGTTGCTAACTCAATACAAGATCGCATCATTTGGGTACACCTTCTATGACTACTTTGAGAGTGTTCTCTTTGGCCTGCCTCACAACCTCGAACGCCTCAAGAGCCTCCTCGAACTTGTAGCGATGCGTGATCAACTTCCTTGGAAGAACCTTTCCACTGGCAACGAGATTCACAGCCTCGGGGTAACATCCTGTTTGATATCGGATCGACCCCTTGATGGTCAAAGCTCGGATACAAGCTGTCGTGATGGGAAATACGATATTCTAGTTTTATGTTAGTAAAGGGTGTTACAATGTTCGGTGGTCAAGTGTGCAAGAACGAACCTCTTTTCCCATGCCAGCTTGAACAAATGTCCCGCCTTTCTTCGCGGCGAACACACCAGCCTGGATACACTGCTCGGCACCCGTACACTCCAGAACGACATCGGCCCCTTCCCCAAGGCCATAATCTCGCACAATCTTCTCCCCAATAGCGCGAGCAGCGTCAACGGGGTCCTCCGGAGCGTCAGGCAGCTTCTTCGAGACGTACACATCATCGGCAGCAAACTCCCTCGCAAACTGAGCGCGAGACTCGGACACGTCAACGCCGATGACCTTGGTGGCCCCATACGCCTTGGCAACAGCCTGACACAAAACACCAATCGGCCCGCAGCCAAACACAAGAACCGTTTGGCCACCCTTCAGTTCCGCCACTTTGCAAACCTGGACGGCGACTGCAACTGGCTCTACTAAAGCACCGTCCTCGGAAGACATGTGCTCAGGAATCGGGTAAGTGTAATCACTGGCAACAATATAGTACTTCTGCAGCGTGCCATCCCAGGGAGGCGTTGCCGCGAAGATTGTGTCTGCGCATAGGTTGTATGAACCTGAACGGCAGTAATCGCAGCTATGCAAATTGTTAGAAGCCGTTGCTTGCCTATGTTGATGGTTGGGGAGAAGCTCACTGCCGGCACGGAACACCTGGCTCTATCGCTACACGGTCGCCAACTTTGACATTCTTGACCTTGCTTCCGACCTCGACAATTGTCCCTGAGCTTTCATGCCCCAGAACAATGGGCGACTCTAGGATGAAGTCACCGATCCGGCCTCGCTGCCAGTAGTGGACATCGCTCCCGCAGATGCCCGTCTGCTCGATGTGGACTCGGACGTCGTATTCATCGCGAAGTATTGGGACTTTGCGGTTCTCGAACGAGACGTTCTTGACAGAATGAAGAACGAAAGCAGGGTTCTGGGCAGGAAATCAGCGAGATCAAGGGAGCAGGGGCAGTTGATAGGGGCATACAATTTCGCACATTCTGGATTGATCTCTTACAAGGGTTAGATATGTGAGACTGAGATAACCTTCAAGATCTGGAACTCTTCAATGATCTTTAGTGTTCAGTCTGGCAATCACCTTAATGTGTGTAGAGATGAAGCATGGCCTATGGCCGTGACGTCGAGGACGGGGTGGGACCGCCGTGCGGGGCCGGACAGTGAATCGAATTCGGGCGACAGTAGTCCGATGAGCATTGAGCGCCGGACTAGAATCAAAAATTCCAGAAGCATTTTGCCTACTTCAGGGAATTCCTTTCACTGAAAGTCTAGATCAATCTCTGGAGTCTACTAATAGAACACACCCTTCTTTGGGGTCGTTGTGTCCGGGAAGTCGACTTCCCCCTGACTTTGCAATATCTACAAACTGTCGTATTACCTACACAAGTATGGAGTCTACATATCATACCCTTGTTCAGCGGATCGTCCTCAAATGGGCTGAGAAGAGGCGCACATCATCTGACACCTCCAATGTACATCCCCGCCTCATTATCGCCCTCGCAGGGCCACCGGGGTCCGGAAAGACAACCATCGCCCAGAAAGTCGTCTCCGCCATCAACGCCTCCCAGGAACCCCACCCAAAGTCTATTGTGCTATCTGCGGACGGCTTTCATTTACCTCTCGCAGCTCTCCGGGAGCTTCCTAATGCGGCGGAAGCAATTGCTCGCCGCGGGGCCCCTTGGACCTTTGATGGCCAGGCTGTCATCGACCTCGTCCGGCAGCTGCGGGCTTCAGCAGGACTGCGACCCGTTCTTGCACCAACCTTTGACCACAAAGTAAAGGATCCCGTTTCCGATGGGTTCACTGTAGATGCAGATGTTCAGGTTTGCATTGTTGAGGGGAATTATTTGCTCGTGGATGACGAGCCCTGGAACCAGATCGCAGATTTGGTAGATGAACGGTGGCTCGTGAGAGTTGAGCCTACACTAGCACGGAGACGAGTTGCCGCGCGGCATCTCGCAGCTGGTATTGAAGAAACAATGGAAAGAGCTCTCTTCCGGGCAGAGAGTAATGACATGGTCAATGGAGAATTCGTTGACAGGCACAGTGAGGGTAGATACGACGTATTGATCGATAGCATAGAAGAGTTACCCAATTGAGGAGCATCTAAGATCGACCTCTCGCGGATGACAATCCGGACTAGCCTACTAGAGCTGAGGGTGACAGAGATCCGGCTTTGGCTTCTACCCGGACCCGGGGGACCTTGGCGAAAGCGACATTAACTTTTCTGAGCCTGCAGAGTAACTACCTCTTGGAAACCAAAACGGACTGGACGAAAAGGTTGTGATTGAAACCAGGTATTTGAATGTCTCTCATGAACAGCTTGGGCTGAAGAATTCCTGTCGCCAAAGGTATCAGAACTTCTAGTCATCCTATCTTCCGACTAACCTCCTACTCTATCCCATCTGTCGGCTCGCTAGTCAAGCAACATGGCAACAAATGGTTCCACGAATGGGGCGAGAAAGTCCATCAGAGCCTCCAATCCGCCCATCGAGGATAGTGTCTTCAAACAGTTCCGCCTTGATGGAAGAACGGTCATAATCACTGGTGGAGCAGGCGGAATAGGATCAGAGATCGCCAGGGGCCTCGCTGAAGCCGGTGCCAACGTATTCTGAATCTCATCCCCAGTTCAGTACATATGTGGCTGACACAGATACCATCTACAGATTGCCATATGGTACAACAGCTCTAAAGCCGCCGTTACCATTGCCGCAACCATTGCGGAAGATTTTGGAGTCAAGACAAAGGCTTATCAAGTCAATGTCACCAACTACCCTGCCGTCGAGGCAGCGGTGGCAGAAGCGGTCAAGGACTTCGGTCGTCTGGATGTCATGATCGCCAACGCCGGAATCCCGTCCAAGGCCGGAGGCCTGGATGACAAGGTCGAGGACTGGGATCGTGTACGTGCAGTCGACTTTGACGGCGCGTACTACTGCATGAGGGCGGCTGGTCTCGTGTTCCGTGAGCAGAAGAGGGGCGCAGGCATCATCACTGCGTCCATGAGTGGTCACGCTGCGAACGTACCGCAAGAACAGAGCTGCTACAATGCCTGCAAGGCAGGAACCGTACGATTATACCATCTTCTTTGAAACACCTGATAAAGGCATTTTGGCTGATACTAAGGACTTGTAGATACACCTAGCGCGGTCTTTGGCTGTCGAGTGGGCCAAGTGGGGAGGACGCATCAATTCAGTGTCTCCTGGTTACATCGATACCGTCATCTCGGGTGATTGTCCGTTCGAGATGAAGGAGGAGTGGTTCAGCTTGACACCACTGCGTAGAGATGCTGATCCGAGGGAGTTGAAGGGCGTTTACCTGTACCTAGCGAGTGATGCTAGTTCCTACACAACTGGGGCTGACTTCATCGTGGATGGTGGGTACACGGCACGGTGATCTAGAATAGCTTGATACATCAAAGTCTGTTCAATTCAAACTTCAACCGTGGCATCCATAACAGGTTCCTGTCATTCACATCTTGAACTCTGAACGTATACAGTCATGCAATGAAAAATAATTCTGCTTGAATCACTTTTGAACTTTCTGGTAAGGTAGTATCCGCAACCTCACACCACAGTCAGTCTGAAAAATATGAACAGAGAGACTTATTGATCAAATACTAGATGATGGTAATGAATATTTACAGACCTTACAGGGAGTAATACCAACTCATATCTCAATCCGACTTTACTTTCCTCATATTCGCTTATCAGTAATTCAGAAATAAAGCAGAATTAGGGAAAAAGCTGCATGTAGAGACGGATGTACTGGCACCATCTCTTACATGGTTCGTCTTGGGCGTCATAGGTTTGTGCTAAGTCAATAGCACAAGTGACTTTTTCACAGAGAAAAGATTGTCTTTTTGATCTTGGACTTGGTGACATTTCCTCCATCTAGCTTTATGAGCCATAGTGTTCTCACACTCTTGACTTCGACATCAAATACTTTTCGGCGGCGCTTGGTTGACGCAGTATTTCAATTTCACAACTAAACTAGATATCACCTCGAGAACATGGCGGCGTCGATACATCCGAGACTATCAGGCCGAAATCCGACCAACCGAGCCTCGATATTTCCCGAAGCCTGCGATCCTTGAAGCTGCAAACATCTTGCAACCCGGTTCAACCTCGTCGTCGCGCCATGATCGAGAGATCCCGGCTGGCGGCCCCCATCCACCCTCGCCTAAATTCCCGACCCACGGCGGCTGCGCGTTATCACCGGGCAAAGCTACCCGAACTTGGACTTCCAATAAGTTGGCAACAGTGCCACAACTCACCAATAGCGACTGTCACTCCTCGTCGACTAACTCCTTGACATCCCGCTAGTGAAGGGTGACAGTCGTCCGTCGTCCCCGCACTTTATCAACCGCACATCGGACTTCCTTACAATACCACGCAAAAGCATGACTCGCGTGACAGGACGTATGCAGATGCAGCACAGCTTGAGTGATGCTACCCCATGGGCGAATCCCCCCGTATTTTCAACGACCCATTTACCACGTTATGTGGGGTAAACGAGCATGCGGAGGATTGCCGGACGCGGTATTCCCAGGTTCCGGCTGCTTGGGAACTATCTTGTTTGCGTACGAAATGCTCTGCGACAAGTTGATCACCAGCCCCCATGGGCTTCCTTCGTCCAAGTGCATGTATAAAGCTCTTGCGGGTCCCGTTCGCGAACTATCATCAATTTTTGTAACCCTGCCTTATCTTGCCCATACATCGTCCGTCACATCTCCGTGTTAGTCAATGTTGCAAAAGCAACCTCGAAAATAAGCCACCATGAAGGACGAGCAGATTGTCGGCGCCGCCTTGGCTGGAGTTCTTCCCAAGACAGACAGATACTGGTTCCAACAGCCGCATTTGCTCAGGTTGAATCTGCTACTTCTGATCCCTCTACTGTCCTCTTCAGTTGCAGGTTACGATGGTGAGCGCAGAGATAATTCCCAATCCCGCCTCTCTGTGTAATCAACAGCTACTAATACCACATCTTTACGTTGCATGTAGGCTCCTTGATGAACGGCCTTCAATCCCTTCAACAATGGCGAGAATACTTTGGACATCCGGCCGGCGTAAGGCTGGGAGTTGTGAACGCAGCGCAATCTATTGGATCTGTTCTAGCCCTGCCTATTGTGGGATATCTGGCGGATCGCTTCGGCAGGAAGCCCGTTCTCCTGTCTGGCATCATTCTCATCATCGTCGCCACGATAATCCAGTCCACCTCGATCAACCTACCGATGTTCATCATCTCGCGGCTAGTTGTCGGCTTCGGTGGCATGTTTGTCGTTCATCCGAGTCCCATGCTCATTGCTGAATTAGCTTGTAAGCACCCGGAACAAGATGAGATGAAAGACTTTTCACTGACGGACGACGAAAAGACCCGACACACCGTGGAAAATACACATCAGCTTATTGGACTATGTATTATCTTGGTACGTGAAGCCCCCAGTTTTAGATGACTTCCGGAAACTGATCCAAAACTGGACAGGTGCGATCTTGGCTTCCTGGACAACTTTCGGTTGCCAAGATTACCAAAGCGAGTGGGCATGGCGGGTTCCCTCCATTCTTCAAGCCGGCTTCCCACTGGTGCAGCTATGCTTCTATGCCTGGGTTCCAGAGTCACCCAGATGGCTGGTAGCACGAGAAAGAACTACAGAAGCAGCTGCAATTCTCGCAAAGTATCATTCAGGGATTCATGCCCCATCTGAAGGCCATACTCCTCTTGTCCGCCGTGAAGTGGCCGAAATCGTCCAGACAATCCAGCAAGAAAAGTCTGCAGAGACGACGGGCTGGGTGGCGTTGGTATCCACGCCTGGCAATCGCAAGAGGACGCTAATTGCAGTTTGTGTGGGAGCGTTTGCCCAGTAAGTGCTTTCCTGTGGGTTCTTTGGAAGACTGAGTATTTTGCTGATGTGTTGTTCTCCAGGTGGAATGGGATTGGCGTAGTCTCGTACTATCTCACACTTGTTCTCAACACCGTCGGTATCACGGACACCTTTACACAAACCTTGATCAACGGTCTTCTTCAGATCTTCAATTTCGCTGCCGCTTTAAGCGCTGCCTTCCTCGTCGACCGGCTTGGCCGTCGAACTCTATTCCTTTGGTCAGGGGCAGGCATGCTGGTGAGCTACATTGTCTGGACAGCGTGCTCAGCTGTCAACACAGATACCGGGTCCAAATCCGCTGGAATTGTTGTCGTCGTCTGCCTCTTCACCTTTTACTTCCATTACGACATCGCTTACACCCCACTTCTGATGGGATATCCGACCGAGATTTTTCCCTACTCTCTGCGTTCCAAAGGCATCGCGGTTGAGCTATTCGCAATCTACGGGTCACTGATCATCGCGGCATTCGTAAATCCCATCGGTCTAGAGAACATTGGGTGGCGTTATTACATTGTCTTCTGTTGCTTTTTGGTAGTATTCTTTGTCGTTACGTGGGTATTGTTCCCGGAGACCAAGGGGTACAGCTTGGAAGAGATTGCGGTGATTTTCGACGGGCCCCAGGCTGTGGAAAACTTTGAGGATGCTTCAGAGTCGAAGGAAGAGAAAATACTTGCCAAAGGCGGAATTCACGATATCGTACATAAGGAGGAGGCATAGTCTAATTTCATCTTTCATGTATATGCGTCTTTGGGGCGCGGATAGCTCTAGGGAATGATCTAGCGAGAGATACCGCAACATTATGAGGTAAATTTAATTTCAAGAGTGAATAGTTCGATACTCATTGGATTAAGGCAAGGGAACATCTGCCAATTTGATTGGAGATGCCACCCATCAGATAGATCTCAAAACTATTTTACAATCACACCAGCGAGCTGTTATCAACTTTGCTTGTTTGCTCCGGCCTCGTGGAGGGATTTGGTCCCCTCCACAATTGAGGTCTACTTTAGTCTCTTGTGTCGACTGGGTGCAGACGAGACGCATAAACCACACATTCCATTAACCAGTCCAAACGACAGTTCTCTCAGCCATTCTCAAGAGCCGACTAACACCGGACGGAGCTCGGCCGTGCAAGGATTGCATCCCCCCTGATCGCGATCAGATGGTGTTGTGGATCACCACAGCGCAAGCGTGCGGAGAAAAAAGGGCGGGGTTTCACTGGGAGTTCGTTGCGGTTGGAGGCCAACCTCACCTCACCCCATGTGTGCCAGACCAACACTTTATCGATTGTTCGCCTGTTCCTGCATGTCATGTCATGACGTCTTCAGATACGGACTACACTCGCCCTTAGTCTTCTCAGCCGGCCTCTGTTGCATCGTCAAGGACGGTTACCGCTCCCCGGCTCGAATCGCGATCTGAATGCAGAGACGGCTTTGATGCTTTACTAAGCACTCCAGAAAGCCCGTGGAGAGAGTCGTGACCAGCTTCAAACCTAAAGGAAGATGTCGTCCTCAGGTGCGACGGGTGACAATGAGCCGGCACCTCCTCAGCCGAGCAACCATGACCCCCTCAGCATGGCCTTCCCGTCGGCTGATCAAGCATGCAAGGAGTGCCGGAGGCGGAAAGCCAAGTGCAACCGGGCGATTCCGACATGCAACTTGTGCGTAAAGTACCGCCGGCACTGCCTGTACGAGAAACACGCCCGCACCCCGTTGACAAGGAAGTATGTAGAACTAATTCGCTATCCCTAGTGCATAAACGTCGAGCGCAAATGGACCTCTTCCGCTGACATAACGCCCTTCTGCAGACACCTCACGGAAGTAGAAGAGAGGTTGGAGCGGGCTGAGGCAATCATAACACAGATGAGAGCGCTGATGCCGGCCCAGCTAAGATCGGGATCCGTGCTACCCAGTCCAAGGAACCTAGAAACACCGGCGCCGAGAAATGATGAAGAGGACTTTGACTTTTCAAAGCTTGACACTCCGGCGCCGTTGGAGGCGGCCCCCCTTCCGGCTCCTCTCCCGGCCCTCTCGGCCCAAGGGCCCGACGCGCTCCCGCAATGCGAAGCTGTCCATCTTGAGCCGTCACAGCCATTCCAACCATCATCACTACCCCAGAATCATGTCCCGTCCTCAGTCCTACCAACCTCCAACATGAGATCCGAACCCCAGCGCGCTTCGAGAATTGCTCAATATAAACCTCACAATGACACATCGCACAGAGACCTCAACCTCCTCGAGGCTCATCCCACAGATGACTTCGAATGGGACGAGCAAGAAACCCTAACAAACTACTCGGCGTCTCCCGAGGCCATCTTAGAAGCCGACTTGAACGGCGAAGTAATCGCAGATCCCATCGCAGACGGCATGGCCTCGCTCGCCGTCAGCGAAAGGGAATCAGGCTACCTCGGCGTCGCGTCCGGCGCAGCCCTTCTCCGTCTCCTGGAACCATCAACACCGAGACGAAGAACTCAATCCTCCTCAAGACCTGGTATAGGCGCAGGGCCCCAGCAGCAGCA